GGGTCGGGATGGGAACCCAGCTCTAGCCTGTCTGGCGACCCCGGCAGCTCACTTCCCACAGCTGGGGCGCAGACCCCACGGCCGGCTTCTCACAGTCACGGGCCACCGCAGTGCACGCAAACAGCAGCTGGGGCCGGGAGACAGAGGGAGACGAGGAGTAGGGCCTGCTTCCGGCCATTCCCACGCCTCCCCGGGCAGAGCGGGTCTGTGAGTGGCAGGGCCAGGTCCAAGGACGGGGCGGGGTGTGCACACCTGGCTTTGGGGGCTACAGCACTCTGTGCCCGAGAGCCCGCTGGGTCACCCCTGGTTGTGCAAACTTGAGGAAGCTACGTCTCCAAGTGTACGTGTTGCCATGGAAAACATGGACCACGCAGGGCGGAGCTCACGGCTTGCTCTGGGGGCTAAACCAAGGCACAACGGATGACCCGACCACGGCGTCACCAGGGGCCCGAGTGGGTCTGCCGGGAGGAATTCCTCAGGGGCTGGTGCCGTGGTGCAGCAGGTGAACCCGCCGCCTGCCACGCCAGCATCCTACATCGGAGCGCCAGTTCAAGTCCTGGCTGCTCTGCTTCCCATCCAGCTCCCTGCTAATGCACCTGGGAAAGCAGCAGAAGAGGCCCGAGTGCTTGGGCCCTGCACCCGTGTGGGAGACCTGGATAGGGTTCCAGGCTCCCGGCTTCAGGCTGGCCCAGCCCCAGGCATTCCAACCACTTGGGGAGTGAACCAGCGATGAAAGAGCTCTTTCTCCCCTCGATTTCTCTCTCCTGTCTCCCTGCCTTTCAGTTAAACCTTTAACAACCGAACTTTCTTACCCACAGTCTGAGATCTCCCCAACCATACACACTTCACCTAAAGGCGCCCAGACCTAACCTGGGTACGGAAGCAGCAGCTGTGCTGGGCACACAAGGACGCCCGGTCCAGCAGAGCTCGGGGCGCCCCTGGGTCTGACAACCCAGGGTCAGGGGGCACGAGGAAGGCTCTGCAGCCACACGGGCCGGGCTGCACCTGCCCTCTCCCCACTTCCCACAGCCCTCTCCCTTCCCTTCCCAGGCAGGAGAGGAGGCAGAGCCTCAGGTGCTGGTGCCAGGGGCGGCCATGAAGCTGACCTGGGCGGGGAGGGTTGTCCCTGAGGACAGAGGGGCTGGCCCTTACCACGGCCTCTTCCACTCCTGTTTTATTCTGAACCCAACCCCAGCCAGAGAGGACGCGGGAATGAGGGTTTCAAGCCTTCCTGGCCTTGTGCCAGGGTTCCTGGTGTTATTTTTAGCGATCTTACATGAACTGTGTGCCCCCCCCCCCTTCTTAGCCTTTCTTTTTATTCTTTCCAGGCAGAGCCAGGCCGAAAGGCAATGAGCACCGCACGCCCAGCGCGTGCGTGGGGAGGGCGCACGGGGCGGGGGTGGGGCGCGTGGCCCGCACTGCACGAGGTCCCCTTTGCGGGCTCCGGCCGCCCGCCAGACAAAGGCCGCAAGTCCCGGGGCCAGGGCGCCAGCCACGCGGGAGCCGAGCCTGCGCGCCCCAAGCCCACCTCCGCCCGGACCCGCGCCCGCCGCAGAGGGAATCCCCCGGCTCCCCGCGCCATCTGGGGCCTCCCGCAGCGCCCCGCTCGCGCCGCAGGAACTGCAGCCGGCCCGGCCCCTCCCGGGCCCAGCAGCCACGGGCCCCGGCGCCCCGCGAACCGCCAGCCTCGCAGAGAGGGCGCCCCCGGCCCCCAGGAGCCAGTGGCCCCCGCCCCACAGCCCCCACCGACCACAATACGCACCCGGGTCCCGCCGCGGGGGCCGGATTCGCGCTGGGCCCAGGAGCCGCCGCTGCCGCCGCCGCCGCCGCCGCTGCCAGTGAGGCGGGGCGGGGCGGAGACGCGCGGCGAGGCCCGGCCCCCGGACCGCCCCCGAACCCCCGGGCCGCGCCTCCCGACAGCCGGACCGCACCCCCAGCCCCCGGGCGCCCCCTCCAGCTTCCAGTTATTGGCCTCTGGCCCCCCGGCCAGTCCCCCGAGTCCCTGGGAGGTACCCCCAGCCCGAACCGGCCCCCTGGACTCCCAGACCACGCCCCCCGGACCGCCCCCAACCCGGACCGGCCCCGGAACCCCCGGGCCGCGCCTCCCGACCGCCGGACCGCACCCCCAGTCCCCGGGCGGCCCCCCCAAGCCCCCAGTCAGCAGCCTCCAGTCCCCCGGCCAGTCCCCCGAGTCCCCGGGCAATACCCCCAACCCTGATCTGCCCCCTGGACTTCTGGACCACGCCCCCAGACCGCCCCCAACCCGGACCGTCCCCGGAACCCTCGGGCCGCGCCTCCTGACAACGGGACCGCACCCTCAGTCTCCCAGACCGCGCCCCCTGGACCGTCGTGAACCCAGACCGCATTCCCAGTCCAGTCCCCGGAGGCACCCCTAGTCCCTGGGTGGCACCCCCAACCCCAGACCTCCCCTCCCAGCCCCCAGACCGCGCCGCCCGGACCGCCCCCAACCCGGAACGCCCCCGAACCCCCCGGCCGCTCCTCCCCACTGCCGAACCGCACCCCCAATCCTTGGACGGCACCCCTGGACCCTCGGACCCCCGCTCCCGACTCGGTCCCGCACAAAGCAAAACTCCTCCGGTCGTCCCCGTGGACGTTCTCGGCTTTGGGGCTGGGGGACCCAACTGGAGGGCCCTGGGCGTCCCCCTCCACGGGGGACTCCTGGCGGAACCCATGAGGAAGGGGCTGGAGACGCAGATGGAAGCGGGAGCCGAGCGGGGACCCCTACGCCGGCACCCCCACACCGACCACCACCCTCGAGCCCCGTCCTGCCCCCGGGGCGCGCGACCGTGGGGGGCGCTCGGCAGAGGCGCGTCCTGGCGGCCGGACCAGGAAATACAAATCCGCACCGGGACCCTTCTGCCCGTGTAGACGCGAGCCTTCGCGGGCGCGCGGACGGTGCCATGCGCGTCCCCGAGCGCGCTTGTTGACGGCGTCGCCTAGCAACGGGCGATGGCGGAGCCGGGAGACTCAACTGGCGGGTCAGCCGGGTGGAGCAGAGCGGGGCCGGGGCTGGGGGCGCAGGGCGGAGGGGGCAAAGGGGTGAGGGGTGCGGAGAGGGCAGAGAAGAGGGCGGTGGGAGGGGAGGGGCAGCAGGAGGCCAAGGGCAGAAGGTAGAGGGTGAGGGGTGGGGGGGCGAGGGCCGCGGGTCTTCAGCGGCCAGGCCACACCCCTCAGGCTGTCCTGCGGGGTGGCCCCGGTCGCCCTCGTCCACAGCCCCTTCTCTCCTGCTTCTCCCAAACCCTCGGCGCCCACCGCACCCCTGCCCCCTCACTTTCGGTCCCTTGGTCTCTCTCCTGCCCACTCTGAGAGCCGCCGGGCAGCCATGGTGCCCCGGTCCCTGCTGCAGACCCGAGCAGGTCCCGCTGCCCCCAGGACGCTGCCCTCTGTGCACTGGGCCCCCTGCCCTCACAGACCCGCCCCTCCGGGATGCCCCCCCCGCAAGTCCCCTCAGGGATGGGGTGACCACTACCTGGGCTGCTGGGAGCACACTGGGCACCCTGAGAGGGGTCAGTGAGCCCAGCCAGCAGCCACCGCCCCCAAGGCTCGAAGAGGCTGGAAACGGGGCACGTGTTTCCTATCACCCAGGTCTCAGCCGGAAGGAGGGTCCCCGGCCGAGGAGGACGTGGAGGCGCAGAGCCAGGATGGCGCCCCGGTACAGCTCCCGGCGGGGAGGGTCAGTCTGGGCGTGCCCGTCCTGGACCCAGGATGTCCTTGGGTGGCCCTGAGTGCCCGAGAAGCAGGCAGGGGTGCGGGTGGGTGAGGGCGGGCAGCATTCTTCCCGGTGCTGGCCTGGACCCTCCCACAGTGCCTGATGGCAGCTTCCTGGTTTGCCCTCTGCCACGCGACCCCAGAGCCAGGAACAGACAGACGCCGAGCCTCCTGAAGGGGTCGACAGGGCCCACGGGGAAGGCGAAGAGGATGGCGGCGGCCAGCAGGCTGGCGGCGGCACGCCCCAAGGGGAAGCTCCCAAGGCCCCGGAAGCCAACTTGGAGGAGGAGTGGGGTTCTGAAGAGGACTTGTCGTCCGACGTGGAGTCACAGTCCCCCGAAGGGCAGGTCAGTTCCATGGACACCGCCTACTCAGACGTCAGCACCCAGGAGCTGCCTGCTGAGGTGGGCCCCAGAGAGCCGGACCAGAGGACGAGCAGGGATGCCACCCCCCTAGAGACGCCCGCAGAGCCGCAGGGACCCCATGCGCCCGCCGCCAAGCCCGCCCAGCCGGCCATGGGCCCAGGCGCGTTGACACCCACCGTCAGCCAGCTGGTGAGTAGCCCTGGGTTCTGATCTGAGCCAGGCTCCTACTGCCCGTGGTGGGGGGCTTTGTCTTAGTTTGGGGATCTGCTGCCGCAGCCCAGCTCTCCCAGTGTCCCCACACCCCAGCCACGCACGGGCAGCCCCCGGCCCAGCTAACGTGGTGGCCCCTGGTTCAAGTAAGTTCTCTGGAGGCTGGAAGCGGAGCAGCCAGGACTTGAACCGGTGCCCGTATGGGAAGCCGGCGTTGCAGGCTGGGGCTTTAACCCAATGCACCACAGCACCGGCCCCAGTGAGTTTTCTTTCTACCCCTTTTAAAATGTTGTGTTTGAGTCCACAAGCAACGCCAGCACTGGAGTGAGGAGGCCATGGAGGTGGCCCCCACTTCTCCTCCCTCTCCCCATCCGTGTTGGCTTCCTGTCTCTGCTAGGGGAAGAAAGCCCCACGGGGTTGGCTCAGAGACGAGTCCTGGGCCCAGCTCCTTTGCTACGGCACGCGATGGAGCTGCCCACTGCTGGCTGTCCCCTCCCTGCCGTTCACGGCAGCCTGCCACCAGAACCCAGCCACTGCCTCGCTGCGTGCCAGGGCGTGCCCAGGCCGCCTCCACAGGGCCCAGGTGTCCGGGGCGGCTCTGAGCACAGACAGGTTCACTTCCGAGCAGCCCGGGCCCTTGAGGCCTTGATTGGACGGGACGATTGGTCGGAAGTCCCTGTGCTCAGATGCACCTGGCATTCCCTCAGGCCGAGGCTCCTGGGGGGACCATGGCGGACGCCACGGGGCCGGGGGGAGCTGTGCCCTCTGCGTCCAGCAGGCGACACAGGCCCTCGGGCACCCCAGCCTGACCGTGCCCTGTGCTCCCTGGAGCGGCCGGCTGCGGCCCTGGGCACGGAATACGGATTTTATGAGATGCTCTGTATGTGTGTGTGTGGGGGGGGGGGTATTTCTTCAAAGCAGGGAATGGTTATCTGTAGTGAGGAGAAATCAGGTCACCACCATTCATTCATTCATTCATTTTTTAAAGATTTATCCTATTTTGGAAAATCATCATTACAGAGAGGGGAGATAGAGAGGTCTTCCATCTGTTGTCGCTCCCCCTCTTCATGGAGGAACGACACTAAGCCCTGCCTAGGCTTCATATCCGAGTCACGGCACCATTATGTCGCTCCCCGTCTTCGTGGAGGAACGACACAGGACCCTGTGCTGTTCTTTCGTCTGCTCGGCCCTCCCCGGGTTTGCTGCTGGTTCTTCCCGGGTTGGCTACTATCCCTTCCACCTCCGTGGAAGGGCGGTCCCCCTGCCACTTTCCCCACTTCCGCGGGGGAGCGGCACACCGCCGGCTGGCTTTCTCGGGGGCTGCACAGGTGTTCCTTCAGATAGATGTTCCTGGTGCATGTTGTCTCTCTCCTCCTTTATAGTCCTCTTACACCAATCCCAACTCTGCTACCCACACACCGAGTACGCTGCTCTCCTCCAATCAGGAGCAAGATCAGCTCCTGCAGCTCAGTCAATCAAATTGGTGAGAGGCAGCTGCATAGAAGTTGTTACTTCCTTCTCAGCGCCATATTGTGGGAGAGCACATGCATAGAATAAGTCTTAATTCCAGTAACTTAGTCTGGTCTGAGTTGCTCCCCACAATCTGTTTGTTCACTTCCTAAATGGCCACAACAGCCAGCACTGGGCCAGGCCATAGCCAGGAGCCCGGAGCCTCCTCCAGGTCTCCCACGTGGGTGCAGGGCCCAAGGACCTGGGCCATCTGCTGCTGCTTTCCCAGGCCACAGCAGGGAGCTGGATCGGAAGTGGAGCAGCTGGGACTGGAACTGGCACCCACATGGGATGTGGTGTCACAGATGACAGCCTCACCCGCTGTGCCACGACACCAGCCCCCACAACCATTAATTCAGAACTTATTTACTTGACAACGTGCAAGTCTTTTGCACACCTCTTGTCAGATTTATCCCTGAGAATTTCATTTTTTTTTTTTTTGACAGGCAGAGTGGACAGTGAGAGAGAGACAGAGAGAAAGGTCTTCCTTTGCCGTTGGTTCACCCTCCCATGGCCACCGCGGCCGGCGTGCTGTGGCCGGCACACCACGCTGATCCGATGGCAGGAGCCAGGTGCTTCTCCTGGTCTCCCATGCGGGTGCAGGGCCCAAGCACTTGGGCCATCCTCCACTGCACTCCTGGGCCACAGCAGAGAGCTGGCCTGGAAGAGGGGCAACCGGGACAGAATCCGGCGCCCCGACCCGGACTAGAACCCGGTGTGCCGGTGCCGCAAGGCGGAGGATTAGCCTAGTGAGCCGCGGCGCAGGCCTCACGGTTTTTTATGTTCTTTTTTTTTTTTTAAGATGTATTTATTTTACTTGAAAGCCACAGTTACACAGAGAGGAGAGCCAGAGAGAGAGAGAGAGAGAGAGAGAGAGAGAGAGAGAGAGAAAGGAGAGGCAGAGAGAGAGCGGTCTTCCATCCGCTGGTTCACTCCCCAGATGGCCGCAATGGACGGAGCCAGGAACTTCTTCCAGGTCTCCCACGTGGGTGCAGGGGCCCAAGCACTTGGGCCATCTTCTTCTGCTTGCTCAGGCCATAGCAGAGAGCTGGATTGGAAGCGGAGCAGTCGGGTCTCGAACAGGTGCCCATATGAGATGCTGGCACCACAGGTGGCGGCTTTACCCGCTACACCACAGCGCTGGCCCTGGTTTTTTTATGTTCTTACATATGATGCCCAATGGTTTGTGGCCGGTAGGTAAATATACCGCCAGTTTGTGTGTATTATCCTGATATTCCACAACGTTGCCAAACCCTAAACTCCTAGGTCGTTTGTCATGTGGCTGGCCCAGCCCTCAGAGGACACAGGTGGTCACTGGGTCCCCTCCCGGCCAGGAAGCCGTCCTGGCTTTTCTCTGCCTGCCTGCCCAGCTGGAGCCTCCGTCTCTCCTTGCACTGAGGCGCCCGCTGCATGGGGAGCCGGGCGGACGCCTCCCTCCCAGCAGGCTGAGGACGCGCACCTGGTGCGTGGAGGCGGTGAGGAGGACGCGGTGCCGTCTGCAGACGCCACGGCTGTGTCCGCCCTGTGCTCGCCCCCAGCACCCACCCCCTCCCCCGTTCTCCTTGGGCGCTCTGGGACAGTGCTTGGTCTGGGACAGTGCTTGGTCTGGGACAGTGTTTGGCCTGGGACAGTGCTTGGTCTGGGACAGTGTTTGGTCTGGGACAGTGCTTGGTCTGGGACAGTGTTGGCCTGGGACAGTGCTTGGTCTGGGACAGTGTTTGGCCTGGGACAGTGCTTGGTCTGGGACAGTGTTTGGTCTGGGACAGTGCTTGGTCTGGGACAGTGTTTGGCCTGGGACAGTGCTTGGTCTGGGACAGTGTTTGGTCTGGGACAGTGCTTGGTCTGGGACAGTGCTTGGTCTGGGACAGTGCTTGGTCTGGCACAGTGCTTGGTCTGGGACAGTGCTTGGTCTGGCACAGTGCTTGGTCTGGCACAGTGCTTGGTTTCTCAGATGGTAGCACAGCCCTGCGTGGTGAGATAAGCACCCAGGGCCCTGGAGCTGAGCGAACGCCTCCTCCCTCCCTCTCCCAGTGTACCTTGTCGCCGTGTACTGGGGGCTCCAGGACTGTCCGCTGGGCCTCAGCCACCGCGGTCACTGCATCTGAGGCTCAAATGGCCCCTGGCGAGCACTGGCCACTGCTGGCCCCTTGGCGCTGGCTCCCCCACCCATGCTTCTCAGCGTGTCCTTGCTCCTGGAGCAGGCTGCCCAACCCTAGAGGCAGACATAGCTTTGGGTGCTGTTTTGTTTCATGGAAAATGGAATTTAAGATCTGAGGGTCCTCTCAGTGCCATAGGGTGTCACCGTTCCCAGGCCCTCTCGGTGGAATGAGACAGAACAGACGGGCGCGGAACAGACGGGCGCGGAACAGACGCGCCACGGCTACACTCCCAGCCACCACTTACGCACACAGTGTTCGCAGCCACAGCACACACAAGCTTACGCAGTCACACCTTGCTCAAGCAGCCCCTCCTCCTCCCCCAGCCCCACCCGTGGGCCCGAGGTTTGCATTGTTCTGGAAGTGGGGGGAGGCCACACACCTCCTGGGGCAGACGTGGTCCCACCCTGGCAGTGGCTAAGACCATGAAGGCCCCACCTGCTCCCCCAGCCTGGTACACTGAGGGCGGTGACAAGGTGGAGGAAGGCCCCACCCACTCCCCCCAGGGCGGTGACAAGGTAGAGGAAGGCACGTGGTCCCTGGTGCCCCTCATTAAGCTAGCTCCATGAGTGCAGGTGACAAATGCATGACCAAACCACGCCCTGGGAATCAGTGACACAAAATGTGGGGTCTGCACCTCCGGCCTGGCTTCTAGAAACTTCCCAGGAAGCAGTTCTCTAATCACAGGGAGGCAAGGCACCCAGGGAGAGCCCAGGAGCTGGGCAGTGAGCGGGGCCCTCGCCAGCTGCACCCTGGACCTCGCAGGGCGGCCTCTGGCTCTGGGCCCTGACTGTCCTCGTGCCCCCAGCACCTGGGCACCCACAGCCAGGGCCAGCCTGCCCGATGCTGCCCCCTCGGGTGACAGGACCGGTGCTCAAGGCGAGGGTGTCTGGGCAGTGTCCTCCGTGGGCACCAGCGGTCACCAGCCGCCCGCAGGGGTGACCGGAAGTGTCTGTTCCAAACGAGCGGAAGCCAGGGCTGTAAGGTGGGGCAGGTGCCTTCCACGGAGACCACAGAGGAGAAGGGTCTGAAGGAGGGGAAGAAGCCGTCCCCTGGGGGCCCTACCCAGAGCCGGGGGCTCACAGAGGCCGCCTCCCAGCCCTAGCGGGGGGCAGGACCCGTGGCACCCACAAGCCTGGGGCCTCAGTGTCGGGGGCAGAGACCGTGCCTGGGGCCTGGGGGGACCAGTAGAGGCCTCCTACTCTGACTGGCTGCACAGTCAGGAGCTCCGAACAGTGTCCGAGGCCCTAATGGCCCCGCTGGCTTCTCAGGGGCAGCCCGCGGCGCCAGCCCCCTCCACTCAGCTCCGGCTGTTTCCACTGCAGGCCCAGCTGCAGCGAGGCCACCGGGGGAGGGACCTGAGGCTGAGCCAAGGGAGCAGCGTCCTGTCCTCGGAGCTGGGCGAGCTCCTCCCGGGCACGGAAGAGCCCCTCTCGCAGGAGTCAGGTACTGCCGGCCAGCCCACCGGACGACACACGTGCCAACAGCAGGGGGCTGGGCATGACGGAGCCGACTGTGTCCCCCCACTGAGCGCTCGCACAAGCCTGCAAAGGGGGGACCCCTCCATCTTACAGACAGGGACCCCACAGTCGCTGAGCAACGGGGTAGGTGCCAGAGCAGGGCCCTGACTGGGACCCAAAGCTGACAGAGTCCCAGCTGCCCCACCCCCACGGCCACGCCTCCCTGCCTCCGGGTCTCCCAGAGGGGCTTGGGGACCGCCCCCCACCCAGTGCACACCTGCCCGCTGGTTTCAAAGGCTGTGCGGGCACTCCTGGCTGTTTCCTTGGTGCCTGTGTCCCAGGGCTGTGGAGACCCAGGAGAGCAGTCTCCACGTCACAAACGCCCCCAGGCCCAGCTCACAACACCCAAGTCTCACAGAAAACAGAGCAGGGGTCTCTCCAACCCAGACGGACAAAAAGGCGGCCACCAGGGCCTTGTGGACAATGTCCTCTCCTTTTCAGTCTGATCAGCTCTCTTCCATTTCTTGAAAAAGTCAAGGGACCGGTGTGTGGTGCAGCAGGGTGAGCCATGCTTGTGACACCGGCCGGCATCCAGTATCGAGCCCCGGCTCCAGCCCCGGCTGCTCCGCTTCGGATCCAGCTCCCCGCTAATGCGCCTGGGAAGGCGGCAGGTGATGGCTCAAATGCTTGAGCCCCTGCCACCCACGTGGGAGACCCGGATATACTTCCTGGATCCTGAGTCTGACTCAGCTCTGGCCATTGCAGCCGTTTAGGGAGTGAACTAGCAGGTGGAAAATCTCTCTCTCTCCCTCCCTCTCTCTCTCTTTCTCCTGTCATTCTCTTTCAAATAAATGAATCTCTTTCAAAAGATACATTAAAAGAAAGATCAAAGCCAGGGCACCAGTAGGCGGCCCCCTTGGCGTCCACTCTAACGGGCAGCTGCACAATGAGTTTCTTTCCTGTCCACCTTGAGAAGCTGACCCCTCTGTAGACCCTGCCGACAGCACCCAGAGCCCCCTGCCCGTCACTCTGAACCGCGAGCCACGCGGGTGATTTCTGCGCTGCGTGAGGGTGGAGCAGCTCTGCTGGCTGACGCCCACTCTCTCCACCGACCCCTGCGGTGCCTGCCCATCCGGCCCCAGTGCTGTCTCCGGAGGGACCCCTGGCAAGCTTCCTGGACAGGATCCAGCGGCTGCCCACCGAGGAAGAGACCCCAGGGGACAGAACGGAGTCCCAGGGCAGTGCCGAGGCTGCTGACGACGGAACTCAGCTGCTGGTTCTGGACCCAAACCACGTGAGTAGTCTCGGGTCTCACTTTCGCCTGGGCCTCTTCCGCCCCCTGCATTGCAGCTGCCCCCTCCTGTTCTCTCCCCACCCCCGCTCTGCACAGTCACCTGCTGAGCGGGGGGGGTCCCCACTGCCAGCTGGGGCCGGGTCGCTCTCGTGGCAGGGGCTGTCCTGGGCACCACGGGCTGTGTGGCAGCAGCAGTGTCTCCTCCTGCCAGGAGGCAGGGCTGCGTGCAGTCCCCCCCACGGAGCCACTGGCTTGGGTGCAGCCAGCCTCCAGCTGCTGTCCCACCCCGGTGCAAACAGCAAAGGCCATCTTGATGCGATTCAAAGCCCGAAAACAGCGCGGCTCCAGCACTGTGAGGAGGAGGCTGGGCTGCGTGGGGAAGCTGTCCGGGCACTGGTCTGGTGCTGGCGGCCAGGGACACTGCCCACCACAGCCCCGGCCCCAGCTCACACCAGTCTGCGCTCCGTTCTGCAGAGCCGGGGACGAGACTTGAACTGTGGCTTCCAGAGCGGGGTTCTCGGGCCGCGGCGGGGAGCGTCCAGCCTGGGGGCCCCGAGCGGGTGTGGACGGTAACGGTCGCCTCTGGTTTTGCACTTTAGCCCCTGATGATCAGGTTCCAGACTGCCCTAAAGAACTACCTCAGCCGACAGATCGAAAAGCTGAGGCTCGAAGTGAAAGAACTGGTGCGTATCCGTCCAGCCCGTGCCCCCCACGTCCGTGCTCCACCTCCGTGACCCCGGGTCCGCCCTCCGCTCCTGCAGGAGGTGGCCAACAAGCAGAGCCGAGCGCAGCGGCAGGAGCTGGGTGTGAATCTCTACGGGGTCCAGCAGCACCTGGCGCGCCTGCAGATGCAGCTGGAGAGGAGCCACGACCGCTACTCGGTGGCCGCGTGCGCCCGGCGGCAGAAGGAGGAAGAGCTGCAGAGCGCGCGCGCGCTCCACGCCAAGACCAGCGCGGCCGCCAGCCAGGAGCGCAGACGGCGTAAGGAGTCCTGGGGGGCGCCGGGGGCGCGCGCACACGGGCGAGTTGGGGGGCGCAGGCAGGACCCGTGCGCGCGCAGAGGCGCCGGGGTTTTGTGCGGCAGCTCCCAGCTGGAGGCAGCGTGGGGGTGCAGGCGGCGGGAGCGGCCCGGTGCTGTCCCGTGCCACCACCAGACGCCCCGCGTTCCCAGTCACCCTGGGAAGAAGCATTTTGGGGCCCTGAGGAGTGCAGGAATTCTGGGACTTTCAGAGTTTGAGGGAGCAGACAGAACCTGTCCCCAAGAACCCCCAAATTTATAGAAAGCACCTTAAAGAGACCGACCCTCCGAGACGGTGGAGCCGCGTTCTCTTCTGCACCTGTGACAGAGCAGGGACCTAGTGGGGAAGGGACACCAGCCCCGCCGCCCCTACGTGGTCCCGCCCAGCCCCCACGGCAGACCCCTGGCCTTGGGCCTTGGGCCACAGCCCAGGCCTCCAGGCAGGCTGTGATCCTGACCATGGGGGCTGCTGCCCCTGCACCAGCCTGTAGCGGACACATGGGGCCTGGCCCCTGGAGGACGCCCACAGTCCCCCACCTCACCTGGCAGGTACTAAACCCTCACATCCCGATGTCGGCCACGGGACCCCAGGTGAGGCAGAGCCGGGCTCGGCGCAGACCCAGGCAGGTGGGAGCTGGGCACTAGCGGCAGGATTGACTGCTGTGATGGTCATCCCTGTGAGAAGAGGGGCCCTGGGCCTGGGGAAGCCCAGCACCTGGCGTCCCAGGTCTCAGAGCACAGCCCCTCGCCAAGATGGGGACGGGGGGACACTGTGAGCGCAGACACAGACACGGCAGCCAGGGGCCGGAAGAAGACATCGACGCCCGGCGGCACTGGAAGCACTGGGAGCCGGGACCCTGGGCCGCCTTTGCAAGAGCGCCCAGGCCCCGCCCACAGCCCTGTCCTGGCCCCGCCCAGGCCCTGCCCGGGTTCCGGGGTGAGCCCGACATCATTTCTCCCTTGCTGCTTTTCCTGCCATTCGTTTCTTTACCTCTGTTTCCCCCAAGCCTCGCACACGGGGCTGAGCTGCACGGATCTGGCTGTGAGCAGCCGGCCAGCAGGGGCTGCCCAGGCCCCGTGCACGGCCCTCGGCAGCTCCCTGGATGCGCACGTGAACGCCCCTGGTGCAGCGGGCACGGTGTTGTCCAGAAGGCTGGGAGCGGAACCTCCCGCCGCAGACGCAGGAGGAGTCGGGAAGAGGAGATTGGGGAAGGTGGAACGCAGAAGCTGGTGCAGCAGAAGACGGGAATCAGGGGCTTTGCTGACGGAAACGACTGCCTGTCCGAGCCGGCTGGCGGCCTCTGGCATCGTCCAGGGCGCGGCCAGGCCGGGCTTCATCGTTTCATTCCGAGGGAGCCGCGCGCGGTTCCGATGCCACCGCTGAAGACAGTCACGATGCTGTGGAAGCATCTGACGTCCCCTAAGGGTGCCCTGCTGGGCGGGGCCCTGGTGGGCTTCCGGAGACCCTCCCCAGGCCGTGAGGTGGCCATGAAAGCTGGCGGCAGGTGTGGAAACGCGAGGAGAACACCCGCACAGCGGGTGTGGTGCCAGACGTGGGAGAGCAAGATTCACTCGGAACTCGGGGATGGCTGCCGCTAGGAAGTTCCCCGGTCTGATCATGGTGCCATCAGTCCAGGAAGGGGAGGAGGCTTTCCGGACGAATGCCACTGGGGTGTTTCTCGTGCTCCCCAAGGCGCGGAGGAGGAGGAGGAGGAGGACGTGCGGTGTCGGCGGTGGTCACGAGTGCCTGTGACTCGGAGGAAGGCACCTGCGCCCAGCCCGCGCCCGCGCTCCCTGGAGGTCCCGGCAGGGGAGAGAAACGAGGCCCTAGTGGTGGGCGCCACCCAGGGGCGTCTGCCCGGAGGCTCCCAGGGCCTGATGGGAAGAAAGTGCAGAGTCCTGGGAAATCCATCAAGGAGCTGGACGCCGGGTGTGAGCTTTTCCTCCATGCGCGTGATGTCTGTGTGCAAACACCGGTTGTAAACGATGCCGCCCAGAGCAGCCGCAGCAGCTGGGAGGGAGCAGGGGCTGAGCCCACCCAGGGGTAGCGGAGACCCCATGACTCGGCGTGGGTGGGCGGGGGCGCCGTGTGGACCCCGAGAAAGTCAGTGCGGCTGCAGCTGAAGTCCCACGGGGGCTGCTGGGTGAACTCGAATTCCTCTCAGGAATTCTTGATTTGCTTATTTTGGAAAAAAAGCAGCAACTCAGGATTCAAGAGTCCCTGGCCCGGCCCCTGGGGCCCCCCTGAGGGCAGTGCCTGACACTCTTTGAAGGTCAAGTTCTTGGACATCCGGGCAAACTCACATGGCAGGCAGGCGGGTGTGCACCTGCGTGTGCATGTGTGTGCACCTGCATGTGGCTGCGTGCATGTGTGTGCACATATGTGTATGTGTGTGAATCTGCATGCGTTTGTGTGTCTGTATATATGTGTGCACATGTGTGTGTATGTGTGCTTGCATGTGTGCCCATATGTGTGTGTTTACGCCTGCATGTGTCTGTGTGAATGTGTGTGCACCCCACCTGCGTGCACACATGTGTGCACTTGCATGTGTGTACACATGCATACATGTGTGTGCATGTGTGTATATGTGTGTGTACCTGCATGCATTTGTGTGCCTGTGTATATATGTGTACATGCATGTGTGTATACATGCGTGTATGTGTGCACATATGTGTGTGTTTACGCCTGCATGTGTCTGTGTGAATGTGTGTATGCATGTGTGTGCACCCCACCTGCGTGCACATGTGTGCATATGTGTATATGTGTGTGCCTGCATGCATTGGTGTGCCTGTGTATATATGTGTGCGTGCGTGTATACATGCTTGTATGTGTGCACATATGTGTATGTGTGTTTGCACCTTCATGCATCTGTGTGCATGTGTATGCATGTATGTGTGTGCACACATATGTATGTGTGTGAACACCTGCGTGTATGTGTGTGTAGCCCACCTGCATGCGCATGTGTGTGCACCTGTGTGTGTGTGTGCTCTCCCCCTTTGGGGGCTGTGTCTTCTGCTGCGGGCTTTGCTGCCTTCTCTGGACAACGTGGGCTGGACACGGTTCCAGATCCAGACCCGGGAAGCCCGTGACTCCCGACATTGCTGCGGGAAGACTGTGCAGGCGTCTCAGAACGTTTTGAAGAAGGCTGATGAAGGACACTTCCGGTGTCCGGTGTCCGGCGTCCGGCATCCGGCGTCCGGTGTCCGGCGTCCGGGATCAAACACAGCAGGAACCTGTAAGGACAAAAGCGAACCGAGAGGAAGACAAACAGACCCTGCAGGGAACGTTCGTCAGAACTTAGCAAACAAACGCGCGCGTCGCTCCTGTTGTTATCAGAGAGAGAGAGAGAGAGAGAGAGAGAGAGATCCCCCACGCGCTGGTTCACCCTGCACATGCCCACAACGGCCAGCGCTGGGCCAGACCGAAGCCAGGAGCCCGGAACTCCATCCGGGCCTCCCGCATGGGTGACGGGAGCCGGAGCACCGAGCCAGCATCCGTTGCTGTCCCAGGAGGCGTTGGCAGGAAGTTGGCCTGGAAATGGAGAAGCGGGACCCAAAGCGACACTGGGGCTGCACCCCGAGGCGCCCCAGCTTGCGAGTTGTAACCACACAGCCCCCGCCTGTCTCCCCGCTCACTCCAAGCGTTTCACCCCCGTCGCCAGGCAGGAGCCTTCTCCGCTCTCAGGAGGTCTTTCTGCGGTTGACGTGCTGTCCGCCCAGAACACCCGACTCGGAGCCAGCATTCTCCTGGCGACCTCTGCACCTGTCACTCCACTTCCTGCTGGACCTGTCGCTGGAGAGGGACGCTGCGGGCAGTGAGCACGCGCCGCTCCCCCGCCGCTCCCCTGCGGCTGCGCTGCCTGCACGAATCGGCGGCCTCGGCCTGTCACTCAACCTCATGCCCGGCTTGTCAAATCAGTCAGTCCCCGTCCCTCCTGAACGCTCTGAGTGGGGTAGGGGGGTGGGGGCGTGGCTGTCTCGGCAGCCCCGGGGCTCCCGGGGAGCCGAGCTGTCCGTCACACTCTGGTTTCCTCCTGAGAAACTTGGGATCCGTCCAAGATGGCTCAGGTCTGAGCGGTAAGGAGTGGAAGCTGAGCACGGGGCCTGGGTCAGACGCTGCAGCCGCCCTTGGGCCGGCGGGCGGGCGCGGGAGGTGCTGGAGCAGCCCCGCCCTCCTCCCCGCAGTGGCGGCCCTGCAGACGGAGATGGAGAACCTGGCGCTGCACCTGTTCTACCTGCAAAGCATCGACCAGGACGTGCGGGACGACATCTGCGTGATGAAGCAGGTGGTGAAGAAGGCCGAGACCGAGCGGGCGCGGGCGGAGATGGAGAAGAAGAAGCAGGTGCTCGGCAGCCCCCCCCCACCCCGCACGGCCACCCCACACCCTCCCGGCGGCCCTGGGGTGCGGCGGCCTCGGCCTCACGGCGCCCGCGTCTGCCCCCCCCCCGCTCCCAGGACCTGTACGTGGACCAGCTCACCACGCGGGCCAACCAGCTGGAGGAGAACGTGGCCCTGTTTGAGACTCAGTACGTGGCCCAAGCCGAGGACACCCGGGTCTTGAGGAACGCGGTGAGCAAGGTGAGTGCCGGGCCCCTGGGTGCGCCTCCACGGCCACTCCCGTGCCTGGGACCAACCTCGCCCCCGCTGCCCGTCAGCCAGCTCCCGGAGGTCCAAAGCCAGGCCCTGAGTGTCTGCCCACGCCCCGACACACCGGGGACAGTCGCCGTTCATTTCTGGTTCATTTCTGAGGCAGCCGCGGGGGGCTGCAGGGGCCCCGGGGAGTCTGCCCTCCCAGCGCCCCCCCTGCACTGCCCTGCACCTGCCAGCCTGCCCGAGGGGGCCCCCGTGGGCTTCCCCCAGGGTGCAGACAGGGAGCAGAGGTCACTCAGCCGGGCTCAGCTCTGTGGCGGTGACACAGAAACCAAAGCTACCGTGACTTTTTTCTTTAAATCTGAGTCACTGTCTGCATCCACGGGGCAGGGGCCACGTAAAGGGGGAGTGGCCTCTCCGTGACTGAGAGAGGCCGAACCCACAGGTGGTGGAGGCGGGGGCGGGGCCCCAGGGCCCCCAGGGCTCCCATCCCAGAAGCTGAGCGCCCGGAGCCTCGGGGGGAGGGGAGAGCAAGGTTTTGGTTAACAGACGGTTCTGGAGTTTAATTGGGAGTTGGCCACAAATTGCCTTGGGAGGATCCGTGGCGGGCCACGAGCGAGGAACACCCAGAGGGCTGGCACACTCCACGCGGGAGGCCTGGCAGGGCAGGTGGGGCGGGACCTGGCATGGACTCCCCTCCCCTGAGGGAAAAGCAGAGGTGAGAATGGGTCCCTGGGGCCCGGAGTAGGCAGGCGAACCTCGGAGGCCCACGGAGGCCCAGCAATGCCTAGTGTGAACGCTTGGCCGGCCACGGCGCAGTCGTGAGCCCAGGGCTGTGTCCGCCTGGAAACAGAGATTCCGGGTGAGATCGGGCCTTGGGACAGGCGGGGACCTGGGGGCTGGAGCAGGAGGGGGACCACAGCACCAACAAGGCCCTTGCGGAGCGCAAGATGCTGGTCAGTCAGGGGCGGGAGGCACCTGGGTGCTCTGGACACCTGGTCAGGCCTCTGTCCGTCCCTGCCCCCATCTCCCAGCTGCCATCCCCGGCACCCAGAAGCGTGGCCATCCTGAGTCAGGCACACGGCAGACCTCACTCAAACGAGCAGAGAAGCGGAGCCGGCTGATGGGAGCCGGCTGATGGGAGCCGGGCTCAGGGGCAGTGAGCGGCGGCCACGCCCTGGCCCCCACGGCCCCACAGCTGCTGGTGGGCTTTCTTCCAGCATGGCCAGGCACCCAGGATGTGGCTAACGTTCCTGTCCATTACACACACCACAGGCACAGTGACAGTGGGTGCAGGGGCCCAAGCACTTGGGCCGTCTTCCGCTGCTTTCCCAGGTGCATTAGCAGGGAGCTGGATCAGAAGTGGAGCAGCCGGGACTCGAAGCAGAGCCCATATGGGATGCCGGCGCTGCAGACGGCAGCTTTACCCACTGCGCCACGGCACCAGCCCCTTTTCTTCCTTTTAAAAGAAAAACAGAGAGTGCACTAAATCCCGCAGCTTCTTTCTACCTCGACCTGCTCGCGGGTCAGTGGAGCAGCGAGGAGCTCCCGGCCTCCTGGGCTCGCGCTGCCTCCCGCGGGCCTCAGCGCCCTGTGACAGGGGAGGACAGGTGGTTCTGAGAGTGGGGGCCTGGGGCGGGCCCTCCCACCTTCCACAGGAACCGCTCCCCGTGGCCGGGGTACACCTCGGGGACACTGCCGATGCCACTTGGGCCGAGGCTGGGCCACAGGTGTCAGCCCCAAGGCGCCCGACAGCCCAGGAGGTGCCCATCTTGCCGCTGGGGCACTTGGGCGAGGTGACCTGCCCTGGGGAATGCCCCAGACAGGCTGCCAAGAGCTCAGCAGGGCTCCTGTGCCGCCCGGGAGCTCTGTGCCCTGAGCACACTGGAGCTCTCCTCCCCCTCGGGAGGAACCCCTGAGCCACCCTCCACGGGCCCCAGGCCTCTCCCAGCTGGGCACCTGCCCCCCGCAATGTCCCAGGAGGGCCTCAGCCCCAGCTGCCAGGCCCTCGGCACCTCCTGCCCCCAACTCCCAGTCCAGGCGGGCCTCGTGCCCCCACAGAGCCCCCGCTCACTCACAACTCGCACCTGCTTCCCGTGGAGCTGTTGGGCCCCCACTCAGCCCATCCTGTGCGGCCTGGACCCTTGCTGCCCGGCCTGGCGCTGTGTGACCGGCCGCCCTCACGGGCAGAGAGAGCAGCCATCCTGTGCGGCCTGTGCGCTTGGTGGCCGGCCCGGTGCCATGTGAGCCGCTGTCCACCGCAGGCGTGCACGGAGATCGCGGCCATCAGCATGGAGAAGCAGCGCGTCCTGCGGCAGTGGGCCAGCAGCCTGGTGAGCATGAAGCACCGTGACGAGGAGCACCGGGCCATCCTGGAGGCGCTCAGGTGCGGGCACCCGCGGGGACGCGCGGGAGGGCCTGGGCAGGACACCCCCAGCCTTCCCAGCTCCAGGGACTCTGCAGCCGGGCCCCCAGGCCCCACCCCGAGGCCCCCTCCTGCTCGCCAGGACCGCAGGTTCTCACGTCCACCTTCTCACATCCTGTGGAGGGAAGGAGAGGCCGTTTACCCTTGGGGGATGATGGGACCTGAGTTGGCACCCTTGTCCCCTGGGAGTGGAAGCCCGGCCCTGGCCCCCCGTCCAGCCTGGGGGCTGGTCCCAGTGCCATCGTCCACTTGCAGGGGCTCCCCCGGGTCTTCTGTCACTTCTGCAGGGGACGCGGGGACTTGGAGATGGGCGCTGCCTCGGTTCCCAAAGCCACGCAGGGCGATGGGGTCTCCGCTCCCCGCGAGCCCTCACATCACACGCGACCTCTCTGCCGCCCGCGTCCCCGGCGCCCAGCTCAGAGCCTGGTGTGCAGCAGGTGCTGGAGAAAGACCTGCTGCGGGGCGGAGCGGGGGGGGGGCGTTCCTGGAGCTTGGTGGTCGCAGGACTGGGGGGGTCGGTCCTTCTCTGTCCTCTGTGATTTAAAAAAATGCACAGGAGGGTGCACTTAAAAGTGTGGGAGATTAAAGGGGAAGTTAGTTTTGGTGCAAAAAACAAACGTGAAACCGCAGCCTTACTCCTACTGTGCACGCCCCACGAAGGTTCTGAGGACGGAGTCACAGCTTTTTTGGAACCAAACGCGCTTCTTCTATTTCCACAAGCATTTCAGCGTGCCCTCTCGTGTGGTTTTTTTTTTTTTTAAGGTTTATTTATGTATTTATTTGAAAGGCAGAGTTAGAGAGAGAGAGAGAAGAGAATCTTTCATCCACTGGTTCACTCCCCATATACCCACAATGGCCAGAGCTGTGGTGGTCTGAAACCAGGAGCCTGGAGCTTTTTCTGGGTCTCCCATATGGGTGCAGGGGCCCAAGGACTGGGCTCCCCCACCTGAGTCCCCGCATGCAGCCCCTCCCCCTGGGCGTCTCCCCGAGTGTCACTGGCTTTGCGTTCCGCAGAGAGTGCCAGCACCACGCCAAGTCCGTGGACGGCGAGATCGAGGCCTACAAGAAGTCCATCATGAAGGAGGAGGAGAGGAACGAGAAGCTGGCGCGCATCCTGAACAGGGTGGAGACGGAGGCCGGCCTCATGCAGAAGCTGACCGCCCAGTGCCTGAGCAGGCAGGAGGCGCTGCAGAGCGAGTTCAACACCTACAGGCTCACCCTGCAGGACACCGAGGACGCCCTGGGCAAGAGCCACCAGGTGCGCAGCGGGCCGGGGCCGTGGTCCTGGCCGTGGCTGGCCCACAGCACCGCCCGTGCTGACACGGCCTCCCGCCCCGGCTCCTCCCGCCAGGAGCACTTGGCGGTCACGGAGGAGCTGCAGGCCGTGCGCCAGGGCATCCGGCAGGAGCTGGAGCGGCGGCGGCAGATGGACGCCGCCATCGTGGAGAAGCTGCAGGACCACATGACCTCCAACAAGATGACCAAGTACTTCCACCAGCTGCTGCGGCGGCTGCAGAAGGAGAAGACCAACATGGTGGGCCTCCCCCGCGAGGGGCGGTGTCTCACACGGACACGTGGACACGGACACACACCCAGAGACACGGACACACACGGACATGTGGACACACACCCAGAGACACGGACACACACGGACACGTGGACACACACCCAGAAACACAGACACAGGCACACACACGGACACACATGACACAGGTACACACATGGACATACACCCAGAGACACAGACACATGCACACACACCCAGAGACACAGACACAGGCACACACACGGACACACACCCAGAGACACGGACACACACGGACACGTGGACACACACCCAGAAACACAGACACAGGCACACACACGGACACACATGACACAGGTACACACATGGACATACACCCAGAGACACAGACACATGCACACACACCCAGAGACACAGACACAGGCACACACACAGACACACACCCAGAGACACGGACACACACAGACACGTGGACACACACCCAGAGACATGGACACATGTACACACACGGACACATGCACACACACCCAGAGACACAGACATACACGGACACGTGGACACACACCCAGAGACATGGACACATGCACACACACGGACGCACATGACACAGGTACACACACGGACACACACCCAGAGACACGGACACATGCACACATATGGACACACACTGACACGTGGACACAGACACACACCCAGAGACACAGACACATGCACACACACGGACACACATGACACAGGTACACACACGGACATACACCCAGAGACACAGACACATGCACACACACCCAGAGACATGGACACATGCACACACACAGACACACACGGACGCATGGACACACACCCAGAGACACGGACACAGGCACACACACAGACACACATGACACAGGTACACACATGGACATACACCCAGAGACACAGACACATGCACACACACAGACATGCAAACACACACACAGACACACACACCGAGACACAGACACACAAGGACACATGCACACATGTGGACACACATGACATATACACAGACACACATGCACACACGACACACAGAAACACACATAGACACATACACACACAGAAATAGACACACACAGAGACACAGATACACAAGGACACACATGGACACGTGGACACAGGCACACACACAGACACACATGACACATGCACACAGAGAGACACACACATACACAGAGACACACGACACATGCTCATACATGGACACATACCCAGAGACACACACATATGCACAGACACATGGGCACGCACACACAAGCACACACAGACACACACAGACACACAGGCACACACACACATGCACACAGGCACCCGCACACACAGCCAAATCCGCGTGTGTCGTGGGTCTTCCTGCATTCCGGGGTCCTCGTGCTTCCTGGCTGGGGGAGCAGCACCGTGAAACAGGACCACGCCCCCGTCCCGCCCCCGAGAGCTCCTGCAAGGCTCTCACGGAGCCCAGGAGCAGACACGGAACTCCACAGACACCCACGTGTGTGCGTGTGTCAGGTGGTGGAGCACGGGTTCTGGCCCTGTCCGGAGCAGCCATCACACCTGGGCGTGACACGGCGCGAACGCCTGCTCACACGCACACACTCAGCACCCACCGAGTTCTCTCCCCATCGGCTGAGTTCGTGGGTGCAGAACCCGGGATCGGGAGGACTCTCTTCTCTTCTAGAACTTTTTCTACACACACAGACACACACTCATGCAAACTCACAGAGTCACACATGTTCACAGACACGCACACGTACACACTCAGCTGGGCCTGCAAGTGCCTCAGGTTAGGAGTGAGTCCTGCTTCCCGGGCTCCTGGGCCCAGCTTTTCCTGCCTGGCACACGACACCCCTGGGTGCTGTCTGTGGGCACAGCAGGTACAGCTGGCGGGGCTCACCTGGCTTCCCAGGGAGGGGCGTGGTCACCGCCCACCTGGCTGGCAGACGCCCTTGGAGGCAGCTCGCTGCTGGCCCGACTGTGCCAAGGACACAGGGACACAGCACCGGAACCAGCAGGCCCAGCTGGGTCTCTTCGGGCGTCCTGGGAGGCCTGGGGGGTTCCTGCCTGTCCCTTGCTGGGAAGGGGGCAAGACCGCCAGGCAGCCAGAGCAGGTGTCTGGGTGCTCTGGGGAAGCTGCAGGGGGCCAGGTAGGAGGCAGCAGCACAGCGGGGCCGTCCCCAGGTGCCAGGCCTCCAGGTGCCCAGGTCCTGAGTCTCCAGCCCTGCCCCTGGCTGGGCGTCACACCTGTACTACCACCAGTGTCCAGCAGGAGGCAGTGAAGAGTCGTGGGCCAACAAACGCAGCCATTAGAATTTCCAGACTGTGCATGGAGCCCCGTGAGCTGGGGGCCAGGGCGCGTCTGGAAGGGGGCAGACGGTGGACAGATGGCATCACTGGTCTGGAGACGGGACCCAGAGGGAGGGTGCATTGGGGTCAACCGTGGGGCCGAGGCGGTGAGTGGAGGGAGGTGCAGGTGTCCTGGGGGGAGGCCAGGCAGTCCCCACAGGACAGCAGACACCCAGGAGGGGGGCTGGGGGAGGCAGTGTGCCCTGGATGGCCTGGCTCGTGCCAGGGGAGGGGGCTGGAAACTGAAGGGGGACAGAGGGTCCAGCAGTCCCCTGTGAACCCAGGTGTCAGGGGATCTAAGCAAAGTGGGCGGGCAGCAGAGGCCAGGCCAGCAGCGGCTCAGGGCAGTAAGTCTGCTGCAGGTGGGCAGGGTCTGAGTGCTACAGCTGACCTGGGGGGTCACTCATGGGGCCAGCAGGGGTCACAGGAGGAGCAGAGGTGTCGGGGGGCAGCCGGGCCACAAGCTGTGTGCTGCACGGCGGCCAGCAATGATGCAGGACACAGGCCACGCTCGGGGGCTGGGAGGAGGGGGACCACACGACTGCAGAGGGGCTGCAGATGGCCACGGCGCTGTCCTTGAGCTGGAGCGGCTTCTCAGGGCTCTCATCCACCTGGGCAGGCCGTCTCCCTGTTGTGTGGGCCCCCGGGGCAGGCAGGAGCCGGCCACTGGCCTGCCGCACCCCAGCTCACGCGCGCGTCCCCGGCGGGCGCAGGTGACGCACCTGTCCAAGATCGACGGCGAAATCGCTCAGACCACGCTGAACATCACCAACACCAGCTGCAGGCTGGACGCGCACCGGAAGGCGCTCGCCGAGCTGGACACGGAGGTGAAGAAAGTCAACGACCTCATCACCAACAGCGAGAGCGAGATCTCCAGGCGCACGATCCTGATCGAGAGGAAGCAAGGGCTCATCAACTTCTTGAACAAGCAGCTGGAGCAGACGGTGTCGGAGCTGGGGGTGAGAGGGGCTGGGCAGAGCCAGGGGCAGGGCAGAGCCGGGGCGGGCAGAGCCGGGGCGGGCAGAGCTGTGTGGGCGGGGCGGAGCTGTGTGGGTGGGGGCGGAGCTGTGGGTGAGCAGGGGTGGAGCCGTGTAGGCAGGGGAGGACCTGGGTGGGCGGGGGTGGAGCTGTGTGGGCAGGGGAGGACCTGGGTGGGCGGGGGTGGAGCTGTGTGGGCAGGGGAGGACCTGGGTGGGCGGGGGTGGAGCTGTGTGGGCTGGGGAGGACCTGGGGGGGCAGGGTAGGACCTGGTGGGCGAAGGCAGAGCTGGGTGGGCAGGTGAGAACCTGGGGGGGCAGGGGAGGACCTGGGTAGGCGGGGGTTGAGCTGGGTGGGCAGGGGTGGAGCTGGGTGGACAGGGGTGGAGCTGTTTGAATGGGGTGGAGCTGGGTGGGTGGGACAGAGCTTATGGGCAGGGGAGGACCTGGGTGGGCAGGGGAGGATCTGCATGGGGAGAGCAGTGTGGGCAGGGAAGGACTTAGGTGGGTGGGGGTGGAGCTGTGTAGGCAGGGGTGGATGTGGGTGGGCGGGGGCAGAGCTGAGTGGATGGGGCAGAGCTGGGTGGGCAGAGGATGACCTGGGTGGATGGGGGTGGAGCTGGGTGGGTGGGGGTATAGCTGGGTGGAGCTTTGTGGATTGGTTGAAGCTTATGGGCAGGGGCGGAGATGTGTGGATGGGAGAGGACCTGGGTGGGCAGGGGAGGACCTGGGTGGGCGGGGGAAGGACCTGGGTGGGGGTGGAGCTGTGTGGACAGGGGTGGACCTGGGTGGGCGGGGGAAGGACCTGGGTGATGGGGCAAAGCTGTGTGGGCAGGGGCAGAGCTGGGTGGGCGGGGGAAGGACCTGGGTGGATGGGTGGAGCTGTGTGGACAGGGGTGGACCTGGGTGGGCAGGGGCAGATCTGGGTGGGCGGGGCAGAGCTGGTGGGCTTAGGGACGCTGCTGGGTGATCCTTGTCCCTGCCAGGAGCAGAGGCCCCTTACAACTCTCAGGCTGAGCGGTCATCCCTCCCCTGCCCCTGTGATAAGCAAGAGGACCATGGGCAGTGCTCCGAGCAGGGCATCACCATGATGCTCTGAGAGGGACCGCGAGACCCATGGCCTCTGTCGCCACGGCCCCGCTGTGCTCGGGCGGCAGGTGACGGAGTGGACCTGGCTGTGTCCACAGAGACCTCCACGGCCTCTGGGATTTGTGTTCCGTGGCAGTTCCACCTGGCGTAGAGCATTCTTGTCCTGGTGCAGCGTGGCAAGAGTGGGCAGGGGGCTGGATTGACTTCGGGCCTAAGTGGAGTGGGCTGGAGGTGGGGGCGCGGTGTCCCCCCTTCCTCAGGCACCTGTAAGCCGAAGAGCCCGTGACCCCTGTCCTGCTGTCCGAGCTGCAAAGCCAGATGGCCGTCGGGCAGCAAAGGCCCTCCCTCCACGAGGCAGCAGACCAGGGACCCCCGGCCAGGGACCCCGGGCTCTGAGTCCCAGCCCGGCCGGGGGCTTAGGTGCCCGTTGCTGGCGATTCCTTCCAGGGGGAAGAGGTGGGGCCACTGGAGCTGGAGATCAAGCGGCTGACGAAGCTGCTGGAGGAGCACGGCGTGCAGGCGGTGGAGGCGCAGGGCGCGTGGCTGCGGCTGCAGCAGGAGATGGTGCGGGCGGCGCAGGAGCACGAGGAGCAGCTGGGCTCGCTGGACGCGCTCAAGAAGGAGATGCACATCCTGCAGCAGAAGAAGCTGCGTGTCGAGAGTGAGTCCCCCGGGTGGGGGGCGGCGGGGGGAGTAGGAGCACGGAGGACCCACGAGGAGCCGTGGGCCGAGCAGGTGCAGAGCCAGAGCCGGCTGACCAGCATCGCAGTGAGGCGGGCGGGGGCCGCCGGGTAGAGACCCTGCCCAGGGCACGGGCGGCCGATGTCATCCAATCGCTTAAGAGCACCTGTGCCCCCCCCAGCTCCATAGCCACACCACCCACGTCACTTCCTGCTGTCTCTGAGCGTGGCCGGGAGACCCTCCCCACGCCCCACCCACGCCTGCCGCCTGTGCCCCACGGGGGGGAACTTAGCCCCGGCAGCCCTGTCCACGTCCGCGTGCCTGTCCCCCGCCCAGGCAAGATCGAGCAGGAGAAGAGAGAGCAGAAGGAGGTCGAGCGCCACATGAGGGACCTGGACAACGACCTGAAGAAGCTCAACATGCTGGCCAGCAGGAGCCGCAGCAGCTCGGAGCAGCTGCAGCACAGCAACCTGGTGGCCGAGAACGAGTTCGTGCGCGAGCTGAAGGTCAGGCGCCGCCCGCCCCGCCCGCCACGGCCACACGAGGCACTCGTCCCCGTGCCTGCCCCCCCACCCACCCACAGCCCACCCCGCCCCACCATGGCCGCACGTGCCTGCCCGCGCCCACCCTGCCAAGACCACAGCTGCACGTGGCACTCGTCCCCGTGCCTGCCCGCCTCCTACACACCCACAGCCCGCCCCGCCCCACCATGGCCGCACGTGGCACTTGTCCCCGTGCCTGCCCACCCACAGCCCGCCACGCCACAGCCACGGCCACACGTGGCACTTGTCCCTGTGCCTGCCCGCCCCCTACACACCCACAGCCAGCCCCGCCCCACCATGGCCGCACGTGCCTGCCTGCCCCACCCACCCACAGCCCGCCCCGCCACAGCCACACGTGGCACTTGTCCCCATGCCTGCCCACCCCACCACAGCCACGGCCGCACATGGCACTCATCCCCGTGCTTGCCCACCCCACCCACCCACAGCCCACCCCGCCCCACCATGGCTGCACGTGCCTGCCCGCGCCCACCCTGCCAAGGCCACAGCTGCATGTGGCACTCGTCCCTGTGCCTGCCCGCCTCCTACACACCCACAGCCTGCCCTGCCACAGCCACGGCCACACGTGGCACTCATCCCCGTGCCTGCCTGCCCCCACCCACCCACAGCCCACCCCGCCAAGGCCACAGCTGCACGTGGCACTCGTCCCCGTGCCTGCCTGCCTCCTACACACCCACAGCCCGCCCTGCCACAGCCACGGCCACATGTGGCACTCATCCCCATGCCAGCCCGCCCTGCCACGGCCACGGCCACATGTGGCACTCATCCCCGTGCCTGCCCGCCCCGCCCACAGGCCTCCGAGCGCGAGACCATCCAGCTGCAGGAGAAGCTGAGCCAGCTGGCCCAGGAGAAGGCGGCCGTCCTGAGAGACCTGGTGGAGGCAGAGTGGGTCCCGGGCGGGGGGCGCACTGTGGGGGACCGCCTGGGAGTGCCGGCCCCGGCCCCCGCCATGCCCAGGGGCTTGCCGTGGTGTCATTCCTGCGCTGAGCACGTGTGCAGAGGGGGCAGTGCGGGGGCCGCCTGTGCACCTGTCTCCTCCTCTTGTGTTCTGACGGCAGTGGGGCTGCGCTGACCCCTCGGAAGCAGCGGGCACTTTGGTGGCCGTGGCCCTGGCCCTGTGCCCGTGCTCGGGCATCCCTGTTCCCGAGACGAGGGCTCTGGGTGTGCACGGCATGCATGCTCCGTGATGGCGAGGGGGCCACTGAGGGACTCTGTGCCCAAAGCTGTCCGGGACCCTTGCTGGTGGGGGGCTGTCGCTCCCCCTCTTCGCGGAGGAACGACACAGGACCCTGCGCTGTTCTTTTGTCTGCTCGGCCCTCCCCGGGTTTGCTGCTGGTTCTTCCCGGGTTGGCTACCATCCCTTCCACCTCCGTGGAAGGGCGGCTCCCCCTGCCACTTTCCCCACTTCCGCGGGGGAGCGGCACACCGCCGGCCGGCTCTCTCGGGGGCTGCTCAGATGTTATCCAGATGTCCCCTCAGGTGTTCCCCATGCATGTTGTCTCTCTCCTCCTTTATAGTCCTCTTCCACCAATCCCAACTCTGCTACCCACACGCCGAGCACGCTGCTCTCCTCCAATCAGGAGCAGGATCAGCTCCTGCAGCTTGTCAAACTGATGAGGCAGCTGCGTAGAGGTTGTTTGGTCTCTTTCTCTCAGCGCCATATTGTGGGAGAGCAGATGCATAGAATAAGTCTTAATTCCAGTAACTTAGTCTAGTCCGAGTTGCTCCCCACAGGGGGTGGGTCTCAGTGGCCCGTGTCTGGGTGGCCCATGTCTCTGTGGCCCGTGTCTGGGTGGGCCGTGCCTGGGTGGCCCATGTCTCAGTGGCCCGTGTCTGGGTGGCCCATGTCTCGGTGGCATTTTTTTTTTTTTGATAGGCAGAGTGGACAGTGAGAGAGAGAGAGACAGAGAGAAAGGTCTTCCTTTGCCGTTGGTTCACCCTCCAATGGCCGCCACGGCCAGCGCATCGCGCTGATGCGAAACCAGGAGCCAGGTGCTTCTCCTGGTCTCCCATGGGGTGCAGGGCCCAAGCACTTGGGCCATCCTCCACTGCACTCCCGGGCCACAGCAGAGAGCTGGCCTGGAAGAGGGGCAACCGGGACAGAATCCGGCGCCCCGACCGGGACTAGAACCCGGTGTGCCGGCGCCGCAAGGTGGAGGATTGGCCTAGTGAGCCGCGGCGCCGGCCTCAGTAGCATTCTAATAGCCTTTAGGCTGTGGGTCTGTTCCAGCTTCTCATTCTTTTCAACTCAACCCCGGGGGTGACACTCCGCACGCCGGCTCCCACAGTCCCATGCTTACACCTACCCCAGCCCCTCCCCGCCGGGCCACAGGCCAGAGGCTCGTCTGGGTCGAGGGCTGGGAGATTTTCCCGGTGGGAGTTGGGGTCATCGGGGTCAACGCTATGAGCCCCTGCCTGAGCCCCTGGCCCGGCCGACCTGCAGAGGTCTTTTGTTTTAAATCTTGATTGATTGATTGATTGATTGATTTGAAAGGTAGAGAGGAGAGGGAGAGAGAGAGAGCTCTTCCCTCCACTGGCTCACTCCCCAGATGGCTGCAGCAGCAGGGCCGGGCCAGGCTGAAGCCAGGAGCCGGGAGCTTCCTCTGGGTCTCCCACACGGGTGCAGACGCCCCCGCGGGGGCTCGAACGGGTGCCCACGTCGGGGGGGGGGCATTGCCGGCGGTGGCCTCGCGGGGAAGCTCCGGTTCTCCTGCCCTGACACTGTCTCTCCCGGCCCGGAAGACACCAGATCATGCTCTGGGAGAAGAAAATCCAGCTGGCCAGGGAGATGCGCGCCTCGGTGGACTCGGAGACCGGCCAGATGGAGATCCGCGCCATGAAGGCCGAGATCCACCGCATGAAGGTGAGGGCGCGCGCCCGGGCGTGGCCCAGGGCTCCGGTCAGGGCCTGTGCAGCCGCGTCCGTGCCGCACAGCGAGGACGGCGGGACAGGGACAGGGCAGCTCCAACTGCTCCCCAAGCCGGATGGCCGCTGGCCCGCCCCTCTGGCCCCGCCCCACCACTTCATCCCGCCCCTCTGGCCCCGCCTCGCCGCTAACCCCCTGCCCTGCCGCTGGCCCCTCCCCGCCGACGAGCCACTGCTGGCCCCGCCCTCCGATGGCTCCGCCCTGCCGTTGCCTGACCGCGCTGACCGGTACCCCTGACCTGGGCATCCCTTCAGAGGGCGAGGGAAGCCCCGCACCCCGAAAGGCTTGGCACATGCGGCCCTGCCCTCTCTGGCCACACGTGGCTGGCAGCCAAACCACGGTGCCATCACACGGAAGGTGCAGGGCCGGGGGATCAGAGTGGCAGCCGTGAGCTGAGAAAGGCACCGCCCCACTCAGCGAGGCAGGGCAGGGGTCCTCCAGACCCAGCGGCTCCTAAGCAGAGCAGGGGCGCATCCTGCCCACAGCCTGGGAGGGGCAGAGGACGCTCGTGGCCCCCAGCCACGCCCCCTTCGCTGCCCTCTTGCTGTCTCCTGCGAGGTCGGAGAGAGCAGCGCCCGGCTGCAGCCGCCATCTCCCCGGGAACCCTGGCACACACGCGTGCACACGCACACACACGCGCGTGCACACCCACATGCCCAGGTGACACCTGGGCCCAAGCTGACATCTGCACCGGGCGCCACACGGCGCCACCACAGCTGCATGTCCTGCTTGCTCCTTGTCCACTCCCGAGAGCGACTCGGGTCAGCGAGTAAACTCTGGACCCTGGACCCTCTCAGAGCTGGCCACTGGCTTTCCCCGGGAGTCCACGGCAGTGACCAACACGTGAGATGTGCTACACAGGCACAGTCAGCACTGCTCGGTTCCCGTGTGCCCCTCGGGGGGCCTCCGCCCGGCTGTCCCCAGTGTCACCTCCAAGGCTGCAGCGTAGTCATCCCGGCTCCGTCGAGCTCACCACACAGATACCACACACATGCACCATACACACGCACACAAACCACATGGGACATACATGCACACTACACACGTGTACACACCACATACATGCACCATACATGTGCACATAAACCACATGGGACACACACTACACACGTGTACACACCACACACATACCCATATACCATGTACACAAACTCATGGGACACATACACACTACGCATGTGTACACACCACACACATACCCATATACCATGTGCACAAACTCATGGGACACACTACACACGTGTACACACCACACACATATCCATATACCATGTACACAAACTCATGGGACACATACACACTACGCATGTGTACACACCACACACATACCCATATACCATGTGCACAAACTCATGGGACACACATACACACGTGTACACACCACACACATATCCATATACCATGTACACAAACTCATGGGACACACTACACACGTGTACACACCACACACATGCACCATACACGTGCACACAAACCACATGGGACACACATACACACGTGTACACACCACACACATACCCATATACCATGTACACAAACTCATGGGACACACTACACACGTGTACACACCACACACATGCACCACACACGTGCAAACCACATGGAACATACACACACTTCATATGTGTATGCACCACACACATGTGCCCCTACACCATGCACAAACTACACAGCACACACCACACATGTACACACCACACATATATACAAAACACAGGTACACACCACACCCGTGTGCATACACATGCACACAACCCACACAACCCACAACACACCACACACACATGCACACACCACACATGCACCCTTACACCATGCAAACCACACAGCACACGCACACACACACACACACAACCCACAACACAACACGCAAATGCACCCATACATCATGCAGACAAAGCACACACCACACACGTGCACACATACCGCACAGGTGCTCACACACATGCACACATCACACACACAGGCCACACCCACACCAGCCGGATCCCCGACCTGAGCTCGTGTCTGCTCAGGGCTGCCTCAGCGCCCACAGCCCGTGTGCTAGGCGCTCCCGGTCCCAGCCAGTGCGGTGGGCGGCGCGGGCACGGCGTGGCGGGAGGGAGGGAGGGAGGGGAGGAGGGAGGGCCCCGCCCCGCCCAGCCCCGTGCCCCCCGCCCCCAGGTCCGGCACGGGCAGCTGCTGAAGCAGCAGGAGGAGATGATCCACGCCATGGAGCTGGCCGTGGCCCGCAGGGAGGCCATCGACACGCAGGCCGCGGGGCAGGGCAGGAGGGGCGCGAAGGTGCTCACCCGCACCGACTTCCACCACCAGCAGGCCGAGCTGCGCCGCAAGATCAAGGACACGCACAAGGTAGGCGTGGCTCGTGTGTGCCCAACCTGTGCGGGCCGGTGGAGCGGCGCCGCGGAGGGGACGGCCAGCCAGGAGTGGCCCGAGGGTGGCCTTCCCACGCCTTCCTCTGCTCCTGTCCCGACGCTGCCCCGGGTGCTCACCCCAGCCCCCGCCAGGGCCCCCAGCCACCCAGGAGCCACGCCCACCCTGGCCGGCAGCTCCTCCCAGGGTCTTCCCCTCGGCCAGCCCCTGGACGCCATCCGCCGCCGGCCCAGGCACGCCCCGACTCCCGGCCCCACACGCGCCCTCTGCGCGCTGGCCGAGGGCCCCAGCACCGTCCTGTGCCCCAGGCCTCCGAGGAGTGCGCCGGCACCATCCTGGAGCTGGAAGCAGCCCAGAAGCTGGTGAGCGGCTCCCTCCTGGAGAAGCAGGCGCAGCTGTCCGGGATGCAGGCGGAACTGGACACCCTGGAGGCCGACCTGGAGGGGCTCACGGCCCTCAAGAAACAGGTGAGCCGGTGGGTTCGCCCTGGGGGCGGGATGAGCCCCTCGCAGCCACGCCCCCTGCCCCCCCACCCCCGGCCACGGGGGCCTCCCCGGATCTGGTGAAGCCCAGGCCAGGTCGGCAGCGCCGGCCACTCCCACTCCCGTGGCTCCCATGGGCTGGGCACTGCTCTGGGGGCCCCAGCGTGGAGCGGGGAAGACAAGCCACCTCCCAGACGGGGCGGGGCTGGGGGTCTGAGATCGCGAGACGGACACCTTGGAGAAAAGAGGCGCTCGGGACGTCAGGGTGGGCTGAGAGGGGTCTGGGACGGCCACGCGGAGGGGACAGTGTTGAGTCTGGACCTGGAGGTGGCCAGGAGGGAGCCAGCTCAGGCAGGGACGAGGGGGTGCGGGAGCAGGGGAGGGGGACGCGGGATTCCGCAACTCCTCCTGAGGTGGGGGTGGGGGTGCCGGGCGGGCCGGGATGTGGGGTGAGTGGAAGGCGGGGACAGCTGAGGCCAAGACGCGCCCGGCCCTGGGCCTGGGGGCGGAGGGCCCAAGCATCTCCTTGGACTTGGGGAAGCCACGTCCTCTGCCGTCCCCCGGTGGCTCTGCTTCGGGGTTCCCTGGGCCGGGTCTGAGGGGGCGGCGGGCAGTGGCCTGGGCTGACGCGGGCCTCTCGCCCTGCCCAGAACCTGGGGGACATCGTGACCCTGCAGACGCGCCTGAAGCACCTCCAGGCGGTGAGGGATGGCAGGTACGCGTTCCTGTTCCGCTCCAAGCCGGCCCTGCAGGCGGAGCGCAAGCGCCTGCACGACCGGCTGGCCCTGCTGGCCACCGTCCTGGCCCACGTGCAGTCCGAGTTCCCGCAGTTCCAGGAGGCCCTGCACAGGGTCAGCGAGAAGGTGGATGGCCAGCTCCGGTCCGTGGGGCGCTCCTAGGAGTGGCCGGGCCCACCAGTGGGAACCAGGGGCTTGGATAAACCCTGGACACCGCCACTGCGCGTGTCCTCCAACAGCAGACGGGGGAGGTGCCCACCCCAGGAGAGCCCAGCGTGCCCCCGCGCTCGGGGCCCCTCCTCCCTGGGCGCAGAGCCCGGGCTGACCGGGGACCCCGGGGTGAAGGCCACGACCGCCTCCCGGGTGGGTCGAGGGGGAGGGGGAGACCCGGGAGACCCCGCCCAGCGACTTGTCCACACACAGGGGAACGGCCCCAGAACAGCCTCCTCCCCGACTCCCCGCAAGGAATAAAAACGCGGCTCTCTCGAGGGGGCGTGGGGCGTCTTTACTGTAGCGGGACAGAAACCGCAGGGGGAGCCCGGCTGTGTGTGTGGCGGAGCTTAATCGCCTGCTGCCGGTGCCCAGTACCAGGAACCCGCAGCCCGCGGCCCGCTGCCCACTGTCCGGTCCCCACAGCCCGCTGCCCACTGCCCTGTGCCCACTGCCCTGTGCCCACTGCCTGGAGCCGGGAGCCCACTTCCAGCTGCCCGGAACCCGCTGCCCACTGCCTGGAGCCCGGTACTCGCTTCCTGCTGCCCGGAACCCGCTGCCCACTGTCTGGTCCCTGCTCCCCACTGCCTGGAGCCCAGTGCCCGCTGCCCGGAACCCGGTGCCCGCTTCCTGCTGCCCGGTAGCCGCTGCCCTCGGCCCGCTGACCACTGCCCGGAAGCCAACGCCCGGTCCCCTCTGCCCGGTGCCAGCCGCGGACGCCGCGGACGCCGCTCCCTGGCCCTCGGACATCAGCGCGGTCCCGCGACCGCTCGTCGTTTTACGACACTTCACGCCGCCGCCGCCGCCGGCCGCACGGATTTGCGGCGTCCTGTTGGAGGCCGCGGCCCGGAGCCCGCGCAGGCCAGCGGCGGGCCTCGGAAGCGTCGGGTCCCCGCCGGCGTCGCCGCTCCCTCTGCCTCTCGGACGCCGCCCCCGGCCCGGGCGCCCCTCGCCCAGCTCGGTCGGATTCGGAGCCGCGGAGCCGCACACCGCGGAGCGCCGCCGCCGCCAGGGGGCGCAGAGCGCGCACCCGCTCCCAGCGTGCCTGCGCGGGCGGCCGTGCCACGTGACCGGCGCCGCCCGCCGTGGGAGCGCTGCTGCGCGTGCGCGGAGGTGAGGGGGCTTGCGCCTGGCGAGGGTCGCTGGGGAGGTCGGCGACGCCCTGGTCGTTGGAGTTAAGCGACCTGGAGCCGGAGCCGGGCGGGTGGTGGCGGAGGGCGCCCGCGGGTGGCAGTGCGGGCAGTGACCCCTGCGACCCCCACCGTCCGGGGCCCTTGTCCCGCAGGGGGCACGGACGCCTCGGCCCAGAGCGGGTTGGAATCCTCTTGCCCGCGTACTCTGGCGCTGACCTCCTGACCGCTCGCTCTGACGCGAAGCGCAGAGGTGGACCCTGAGCTGCCCGGGCCCGGGCCCCGACCCCTGACCCCTGACCCCGACCCCTCTGCCTGGTCCCTGACCCCTGACCCCTCTGCCGGCCCCGGCCCTGCCCCTGACCCCAACCCTCTGTCCGGCCCCTGGCCCCTCTGCCCGACCCCAGCCCATGCTCCTGACCCTCTGCCGGCCCCGGACCCGGCCCCGAGCTGCTGGGTCTCGGAGCGAGGCCAGCTCAGCCGTCTCTGGAGCGGCCACGGGGGCGAGGACCCTACAGCTGCAGCAGGAAGTGGAGCCCGCGGGCCCCAGCGCCCTGCTCTGAACCGGGTGTCTGCTGGCCACCTGCCCGCTCCATGGACACAGCCCGCGTGCGCGGCCGAGTCTCTGTGGCCATGGTCACACACACACGTGTACACAGCCCTGTGTGTGCCTGAGTCAGTGCTGCCCTGGTCACACCACGCACGGGTATACACGTGTACACAGCCCAGCATGTGTGCCTGAGTCACTGTGGCCCTGGTCTCATACACATGTACACACACGTACACACGTGTACACAGCCCTGTGTGTGCCTGAGTCACTGCTGCCCTGGTCACACCACGCACGGGTATACACGTGTACACAGCCCCACGGTGTGTAGCCGAGGCACTGTAGCCATGGCCATGCGTGCACATGTGTGCACACGTACACAGCCCCGCAGTGTACGGCTGAGTCACTGTAGCCATGGTCATGCGTGCACATGTGTGCACACACGTACACAGCCCCGCAGTGTACGGCTAAGTCACTGTAGCCATGGTCATGCACACATCTGTATACACACGTGTACACAGCCCCATGGTATGCAGCTGAGTCGCTGTGCCCTGGTCTCACACACACGTGTACACACATACACATGTACACAGCCCAGCATGTGTGCCTGAGTCACTGTGGCCCTGGTCTCATACACATGTACACACACGTACACACGTGTACACAGCCCCCGTGTGTGCCTGAGTCACTGTGCCCTGGGCTGTCAGACACATATGTGTTCACAGCCCCTGTACACTGTGCCTGAGTGCTGCCCTGGTCACACACATGTACACACGCATGCACACAGCCCCATGTGTGCCTGAGTCACTGTGCCCTGGTCTCACACACACGTACACACACATGCACACACATGTACACAGCCCCATGTATGCCTGAGTCACTGTGCCCTGGTCTCACCCACGTGTACACACACGTGTACACACGTGTACACAGCCCCCTGTGCCTGCGTCACCGCGTGCAGTGTGGCCCGGGAGCAGGTGAGAGTGCAGAGCGCAGCAGGCCGCGTCTGTGTCGTCTGACCCGTGCCCTCGTCTGAAGTTACCAGGGGAGAGGGGGCCTCCACGCTGGCCCCTCCCCAGGTGGCCGCACCGGCCGGTCGGAGCCAGGAGCCTCCTCCGGGTCCCCCACGCGGGTGCAGGGGCCCCGGGACGTGGGCCACCGTCCACTGCCTGCCCGGCCACAGCAGGGAGCTGGATGGGAAGTGGAGCAGCCGGGGCTGGAACCGGCGCCCCGCGGGATGCTGGGTCACTGCTGGCTGCCCGGAGTCTTCGCTTTCCGGCCACAGCTGGCTGAGCCGGGGGCGGCCACCGGGCTGCGGGCTCTGTCCTCTCTGTCCCTGGTTTTGGCACTCAGCTCCCAGAAGACTTGAACCCAGGAGAGGGGCGGAGCCGCCACCAGGAAGTGACCAGGGAGGGCTTGTTGAGCCCCTCCCCCCCGGCCGGAAGCGGCGGCCAGTACTGCAACAGGAAGTGTAGTGGAACCCAGGGGCACCCCCAGGCCACAGGGTGGGCTGGTGGTGCCGGCCGGGGCTTGGGCGCTCTGCCCCCCGCGCGTCTCGCCCCTGCACCTCCTCCCTCTGGCTGGTCCCGGAGCCTTGCAGAGGATTGACGCGGCGGGGGCGGAAGTACAGGTGGCACAGGGGGTGGGGGTGGGGTGGGGACTTGTGATGGTGTCTGCGGTGGGGGCTGAGCCTTGAGCCTGCACTGACTCCAGGTGCTGGGGCCAGAACAGGCGCAGGACGCCCGGAAGGCACCTGGGTGGGGTGCAGGAGGCTCCGCCCTGAGGGCTCCCGCTGGCCCGTGGCCCCTGCACCTGCACCAGCCCACAGCCGTCGGGGGGTTGCCTGCCGCAGTCCCTCACCTCTGCCTGGCCTGTGACCTGCCCCCAGCGCCCGGATCGGCGGCGGCTGGGAGGGACTTGTGACTGTGGATTTGTTCCCCCGGGGGCCCTGGGCCACTGCCCACAGGCAGGTGCTGGGCCAGCCGCCCTGCGTTCTTCCTGTGGTGCAGGGGTGAACAGCGCCAGCAGGGTCGTGCCGTCTGAGCACGCTCCGTGTTCTCTCAGGACCTGGGGTTTCCTGGGGCACCTGCTGGCCTAGAGCCCCCGTGTCCGCCTGTTAGCGGAGAAATTGCAGGGTTCTTGTCTTCGCGCAAGAAAGAATTCAGGCGTGAGACAGAGTAGTGGAAAGTAGAAGTAGCGAAGTTTATTAGGGAAGGGACATCCGTAAGGACGGATGGGCCCCTCTCCAGACAGGACCTGGGAGAGAGAGACCAGTCGCTCGGACTGGGGGGAGGAGCGAGGTTACATGGTTGAGTGGAGAGATCACACCTGGGCAGGCAGGCGGGCGGCTCAGCAGAGGGGCAGAGGGCTGAGCGCGCAGTCCGGTTGAGGCCGGGGTAGGGTGGGGGGTTTAAGGAGATGGGTCTTGCTTCCCCACCTCTGCTCCTCTTGGAAGAAAAGGGCTTTTTGGATGTAAATAGAAAAACTTCTATCAGTTTTCCCCTGAAGGTATCAGACAGGAGGAAGCCTAGCTGGCGCCATCCTGGGTTCAGAGGAAGGGTGAGCAGGGCCCCCTGGAGAATGGGGATCAGAGCAGGGTGTTTGAGATGCAGATACTGGGCTGCACCTGGGAGATTGTGGGAGATTTGTCAGGCAGAAGGGGCGGGGCCCCCACCTGGCAGGTTATCAGGTAGAAGGGGGCAGGGCAGGATGCGAATACCGGGCTGCCCCTGGAACACTGTCAGGATGACTCAGATGCAGATGCAGATGCTGGACACAGACGTCTTCTCTTTAGGCCTTTATGTCACACACGCATAAGCTCATTCCTGACTTCCTGCCTAACACGCCCCCTGTGCCGCCTGGGCGGGCTGGGCAGGCTGGGCTCCGAGCTGCGAGGCTGTCGAGTCGGGGCCTCAGTCTGTTTGGCAGTGCCGTCCCGGAGCGTGGCTGTGGGTGCAGAGCCCCAGGCCCTCACCGTGGTGCCTGGGTGGGGGAGTTGCTGGGAAGGGGCCAGAACTGGGGCGGGGACCCCGGGTGCCCTCGGCCACCGTCGGAGTGGGGCTTAACCCCTGCCGTTGCACCTGCCACTCCCTCGCGCTGCGCCCACCGGTGGGCTTCTAGGCGGTCCATCTGAGACTTCTCGGTGTGGGGTGTCCCAGAGCCCCCCATTAGGGCTGCTTCTCTCCATCCCCTGGCCTCCCTCCCCTCCCAGGCTGGTCTGCTGCCCGCCCTGCCCGTGCCAGCCGCGATTACTGTCCGGAAACCACGTGAGCATCCCAGCTCTCGGCTGACTGTGGCTCCTTCTCTCCGCAGGCCCCCCGGAGCCGCCCGCGCTGCCCGGCCATGGACGGGAGGTGGCCGCCCTGCTCCCGCCCCCTGCTGGGGGTCTGTGTGCTCGTCGCCTTGGCTACGGCGGCCTTCCTGGGCCACAGTCTGCTCTGTGCCTTCCCACTGGTCCCCCGGGAGCTGGGTGGCATCTTCCGAGGCCCGGGGGATACCAGCCGGCCACTGCCCCGGCCTGCGCAGGAGCGTCCTGGCCGTCCTGGCCATCCTGGGGCCACACCCACACAGTGCGATGTCCCCCCCAACAGCCGCTTCGACTGTGCC